TCATCAAAAATAAGTAATGGGGCCAGACTAGAAGGAAGGCCCCATGGCTTACTTACCACTCAAAGATGTCTGTGAGTTCAATCTAAGTTTCTAATACATAAACAAGCAGAGAATTTGATTTTGCTTTGTCTTTGACTGTCCAGATTCATAGTTCTTCAAATATTTTATTCATTAGATTTATTATACTAAGTATTCTGAGCTCAGAACTTTTGTGAGACATGAAATAAGAAAATTGCAAAGCCCTTCAGGCCACGAGTCAGGAATTGTTTCAATTACTTCTTTTCTTGCTGAAACCCAGGATATAGGTCCTGATGAAGCCACATCAGCACTTTTTCTGTTTTCCTTACAGAACAAATTGCCAGCAGGATTCCTGTTTATGAGGCTAGGAATTGCTGGTACAAATTTCCCATAAGAGTTCTGCTGGGAAGTCTCCCCTGCTAAGGAAAAATATTCGCTGTGCTTCTGACTGTGGGCATATAGCCAGAATATGTCTGAGTTCCCTTAAGCCCAACAAGATACCCTTCCCCTTATCTGTACATTTGATTTGTTTGGAAAAATGCAGTTTATTTCTATAATTATCTCAGAAGGGAGAAGTCAGTCTGTGTAATTATGCTGTTCACGCATATTAAGACTTTCTCTAGTTTGGATGTCAGCAGGGTGCCCAAGGCAGGGACTCAATGGTGAGTTGAAGTGTTGAGACCACAAGCAGCGAAGAGTGGAAGAGGACTCATAATGACCTGCCAAAACCCAATTCCATACTGATGAGCACAGCTGTGAGAGGCTGGGAAGGCAGAAGCTGCAACAGCCATGGCCATCCTTCTTAGGCTAGTTCACTTTGACTAGAAGTATGAATGAGGAGTCTTCTAAGGTGACATAAAAGGTTGAAACAGTGACATTGAGACCAAAGAAGTCTTCACAAATAGCACACAATGTAAAGGATTACCCAATGATAGTGCAAATGTCCTTTTTAGTAAAAGATATGGAATGGAATTCCATGCCCATAAGTCAGACATTTTGGTGGTGGTACACAAGGGAACACAGGAGATAGGGAAGGATGAGTCTCATGCAGAGTAAATACCAGTTCATTTAAGGATGAAATGATACCTCTTCAAGGATGCAAAAGACATAATGTAGTCAAACTGCTACAAATTGACTAACATATCTCTTTGGGAAATTATACCATATCAACAGATGTAATGTTGACAATATGAACAGCTGATAGCAAAAGGAAGCTTATTCTGTCTTGATCAGGAGACCTCAAAGTCAAGCCAATGTGTGATGATATTGTGTTTCCCAAAATATTTTGTACCCTAATAAACTTATCTGGGGTCAGAGAACAGAACAGCCACTAGATATAGAGGCCAGAAAATGGTGGCACACATGCCTTTAATCCTATCACTTGGGAGGCAGAGATCCATTTGGATCTCTGTGATTTTAAAGCCACACTGGAAACAGCCAGGCATGGTGACTCACACCTTTAATCCCAGGAAGTGAGCCTTTAATCCCAGGAAGTGATGGCAGAAAGCAGAAAGGTATATAAGGTATGAGGACCAGGAACTAGAGCTGGTTAAGCTTTTAGGCTTTTGAGCAACAGTTCAGCTGAAATTCATTCTGGATGAGGACACAGAAGTTTCCAGTCTGAGGAAACAGGATCAGCTGAGGAACTGGCAAGGTGAGGTGGCTGTGGCTTGTTCTATTTCTCTGATAATTCATCATTCACCCCAATACCTGGCTCTGGGTTTGTTTTTATTAATAAGACTGTTTAAGATTCATTCTACACCAATGTATACCCTTTATCTATGACACAATGGCTACTCAGTTCATGAGTCCATTGCCTACGCACAGGGTTTACCAAGGATAGAGACTGGCTGACGCCGGTGGATGCATTATCATATATTAAGGATTTCTGCAATAGACATTCTTTAATGGACATTATTACTAAGAGATTAAAAGATCAGCATGGTTTTGACCACTTCCATTGGCACATCCACATGCTTCACTCACAGATGTCCTTGTCTCTGATCAAGTCTTGCTCCTTCTAAATCCCTGTTAAAATAGATGATCCTGTCAGGACCGCTCAAAATGTGAGAATAATCTTCATTTCAGGGTGCTTCTCCATCATGCAAAGATAGGTATAAATTCTAATAACCATGCTACTTCCCATTTGGAGATTTTCCCTCATTAGTAGTCTGTAATGCCAAATGGTGCTGTATTTAATGAGTAGTCTGTTTTTAGCTCAAATGAGTACAGATAGTGCACTATCTCAGGTTTTTATAATACTTCCATCATTTAGTCATAGGAATCCCCCCTCACTCTCCCACATAACCAAGGTCAGAGAAACCTTTCTGGTAAAACATATCACTATATTAAAGGACATCGTCATATAATATACTCCTATTGGTTTGACTTGATGCAATTCTAAATATAACACTTCTATCATGTAGTATAGTGGGTCTCAACTTTCCTAATGTTGTGACCCTTTAATACATTTTCTCATGTTGTGGTGACCCTAACCACAAAAGTATTTTCATTGCTACTTCATAACTATTCATAAAATAAAATATATTCATAAAATAATTTTGCTACTGTTACAAATCATGATGTAAATATTTGTGTTTTCCAATGGTCTTAGGCAACCCCTGAGGAAGGGTCATTCAACCCCCAAAGAGGTTGAGAACTTCTGATCTAGTAGATTGTTGCTTTGTTCATCCAATATTATGATTAAGGTAATCTGATAAATTCAAGCTCATGGTGGCCTCCTCTTTAGTAACTTGTGATTAGATACTCCATCTGTACCAGGACCAGCATCATTCTAGTTACATATTTGAATAACCATTCTTTGCTGTAGAAATAATCTGACATATGTCACTTCTACTAATTTTAGAGGACTGCAGACAACATCCTTATTTATCACAGAGCATGACTGCCAGTTCATGGGCACCATGTTGCAAGCAGCTAGTCCTCTAGTCTAAAACTATTGCAGAGCTTTCCCTCATACCTATCCTCTTGATCACATACAAAATTATAGAACTTTTAAGATGCTAGGTATTTTAATTGGAAAAGTACTCTCAAATGTGGTCAGTAAGCTGCCTCCAAAATCCACAATGGTACACAAGGATTCTGGCTTCTTTTTTAATAATAATGAATACAAGACGTGAAAATGACCCATCTTTGAAGATACTTCTCAACTTGTCTTGAGCCACTGGGCCCCTAACAACTTCACTAATATGGTAGACAGTGCATTCACATTGTTGATCTCCATCCCTCTTGACATGCATTGATTTTGACAGATCTAAAATACTTACTGATTCCTGCTTATCAAATATTACTAAAGTGATAACATCAGTGTCGAAGGCTAGCATGCAATCTTTTAAAATTTTATTAATATATGTATGTGCACAATGAGTGTGTGTGTGTGTGTGTGTGTGTGTGTGTGTGTGTGTGTGTGTACATAACATTGCACACATGTGGAGGTCAGAGGACAACTTTTTGGAGTTGGTTATCTCCTTCAACCTTGACATAGGTTCTACAGATTAAACTCACTCAGGTTGCCAGACTTGTGCAACGAACTCCTTTACCCCCTGAGCCACCTTGCTGGACCTCACATGACATTCGGACAGTGTTCATATAAATGAGAGTCCTGATGACTGCATTAGGACAGGTAGCAAGAGACTTCGAGTATCTTTGAGAGGGCTGGTGAGGTGGCAGAGCATACGAAGGCACGTGACACCAACATTTCTAACCTGATTTGCGTTCCCAGGACCCACCTGGCAGAGAAGAGATTTGGCTCCTGCAAGTTGTCTGACCTCTGAACATGCACCATAGTGCATCTGTCCTCCAGTCAATAGAAGCTTTTAGAGCTGGTCCTGAGAAAAGAAGTGAATGTATGGTGTCACTCTTCCCATTAACATAAGTGGTTTTGGTCTTCCTTCCTGATAGAATTGGAGAAATATCCAGAATAGTGGCCTTGTACTTAAGACCAAAGTCTGTGCTGATCTGTGTTACAAACACTTGAAATTGATTATGGGAACTGAGCTGAGATAACCACAACCCTACCACAGTTCACTGCCTTCACCATAATGAATTGGCTTTCCTTTTTCAAGAACTTGATATGTGAATTGAGTAGCAGTTACAGGCCCACCATCCCTTCATCCTGTAAGTATTTGGTAGCAAGGTCAATATTAATCACCCAGAAATGCAGTGTTTTCTAAGTATCTTGGCCACATGGTGGATCCAATCTCTGGAATGTGCTATAATTTTTACTCACATTCCATAGGTCAAGAACAATAACCATGATCTGTCCACTATTAATAATATCTAATTGTACACTTGGAAATTGAAATTTGTGTCTATAAACTCAATGTATGGTCTGAAGTATTGACATAGTCCAGAATATACCTGGAAAAGCAGGGATTTACCATCATCTGAGGCTCCAGGGTTCAATTTGGGGACCCTTGTATCAGTATCAGATTAGCTTGTATTTAGTTATGCTTGAAACTCTAGGCATTGCATTTTCCTCTTGCACAGTTACTCTAGAATATAGATTTGAGAAATGTTTTTTGGGTGTATAAGTGATGGCATTATTATTAGGTCTTTCCCAAAGGGAACAAAGCAGCCCTGCAATCAATAACCTCTGAGTCTACACTGGACAAGATGACTCAGTGTGTAAAAAGTACTTGAGATGGAAGCCTGATGATTTGAGTTTGATCCCCTGAATCCACAATGAAAGGAAAGAACAGAATCACAAAAGCTGTTCTATGATGTTTGCATGGGCACTATGACATATCCACCCTTAAGTACACAAAGAGAGAGAAAGAGAGAGAGAGAGGAGAGGGAGAGAGAGAGAGAGAGAGAGAGAGAGAGAGAGAGAGAGAGAGAGAGAGAGAGAGAGAGAGAGAATGAGAGAGAGAGAGAATGAGAGCGAATAATGATGATGATGGTGAAGATGATGACGATATGATGATAAATGAACTTAAATAAAAAACAGTCTCTGGGGGTTCTTGTCCAGTTAAGACATCCGCAGCTGGGGCGTCGGTGCGAGTTGTCTCTTGCTGTGGGAACATGGTGCGGACCAAAGCAAACTACGTCCCAGGAGCCTACAGAAAAGTGGTGGCTTCTCGAGCCCCTAGGAAGGTGCTTGGCTCCTCCACCTTTGTCACCAATTCTGCATCGTGTTCATCGAGAAAAGCTGAAAATAAGTATGCAGGAGGGAACCCAGTTTGTGTGCGCCCAACTCCGAAGTGGCAAAAAGGCATCGGAGAGTTCTTCAGGCTGTCCCCCAAAGATTCGGAAAAAGAGAACCAGCTTCCTCCTGAAGAAGCGGGGTGCAGTGGCTTAGGAACAGCAAAGAGAAAAGCACGTCCTTTGCAACCTGATCACACAGATGACGAAAATGAATAGAACTCATTCTCCTGAATAATGCCTTCAGTTTACTTAGGTATTCTGGGATGTAAATTTGGGTAGACGTGTTTGTTCAATTGGCTTGTTGAACAGGCATTCAGTTAAGGGGGGGGCGCTAAAATTTCACCATTCAAAAGCAACTGGCTATGAAAAGGGAGAATTTTTATAATTTGTAAATTATAATTGCATACTTGAATTTATAATGTCATATGTTGCTTCTTTTACCTATTAAGCTTCTTGCTAAAATAAACATTGCATGATGTTCTAATTACTAATCTAAGTCTTTGAGATTTGCTTAGATCTTTGTACTAATACCATTTTATGGGCTGTATTATTATGTGAAATAGTGCTGTATTATTATGGCTTGTTTGCTTTAAAAGTCGGCGTAGTTGTTTTCACATTAAAAAATTAGTATTAATTAAAAAAAAAAAAAAAAAAACAGTCTCTGGATAAATAACAAGCATGTCTCTAGGGAGGATACACGGATCTCCCTGGGAAGAGGAAATAGAATAGATTTTGCAGATGGACTGGGGACAGATGGGGATGGAAACAAGAGGGATCAGGTGGGGAAAGGAGAGAATGAAGGGACAAAGTACCAGGAGAAATTACTAGAATTGGAGGGGGTGCATTCAGAAGGCAATTTGGAAACCTAGTGAAGTGGAAACTTCCTGGAATCTATGAGGGTAACCCTAGTGAGGACTCCTAGTAATGGAGGATACAGAGTCTAAGCTGGCCATTTTCTGTAACCAGGCAAGGCTTCCAGTAGTGGAACTTGGGATACCAACCCAGCCACAAAATCTTTGACTTACAACTTGTCCTGTCTGAAAGATGTGCTGGGGTCAATGGTGGCTCAGAGCTTGTGGGAGTAGCCAACCAATGACTGGTCTAATTTGAGGCCAAAGCCAAGAGATGCAGCCCATGCCTGATACTGCCTGGATGGTCAAGAACCAGAAGCTGGATAGTCCAGAGACCTAGGCTAGAATCAAGCAGGACTGGCAAAAAAGAAAAAGGGAAAAAAAAGAAAGGGAGAGAGAGAGATAGAGAGAGAGAGAGAGAGAGAGAGAGAGAGAGAGAGAGAGAGAGAGAGAGAAAGAAAGAAAGAAAGAAAGAAAGAAAGAAAGAAAGAAAGAAAGAAAGAAAGAAAGAAAGAAAGAAAGAGTCAATGAAATGTAGATTGGTACCTAGCCCAATCATCATCAGAGTAGGGTCCAGAGGGGTCAAAGACACCAGGACAACACTACCCACAGAATCAACTAAGCAGTGCTCATAGGGGCTCACAAAGACAGAAGCAGCAATCACAGATCCTGCATGGGTCTGAGCTAGGTCCTATGTGTATATGTTATGGTTGTATGGCTTGGTGTTTTTGTGGGACTCCTAACAGTGGAGGTCAGGGTGTCTCTGACTCTTTTGCCTGATCTTAGAATTCTTTTCTTCCTACTGGGCTGCCTCATCCAGCCTTTATATGAGGATATGTGCCTAGTCTTATTACATCTTGTTATGCCATATTTGGTTGAAATCCCTGGGAGGCCTGTTCTTTTCTGAAGGGAAACAGAGGAGGAGTGGATCTGTGGGTGGGGTGGGGGGACTAAAGGGAGGGAAGGCTGCAGCCAGGATGTATTGCATTGAAAGAATACATTTAAAAAAAGAAGAAGAAGAAGAAACAGCCTCTGTGTTTATAAATTAATTCGGGGCTAGAAATTTGATGAATAATAACAAGTTTATTATTGTGTTGTTTAACAACAGTTGCTCTTGATTTTGGTAAAGGGGTGGGGTAAGAATTATATTAATTCAATTTGAACAATGTCCTCAATGTTGTCCATCTATCTTGTTTCCTGGGACATTCTAAGCAATTTTGTAGACCCCTTTAGGTCAAAACAATTTGACTGCTCCCCGGCCCTTTCTGTTCTGATAATCACATCTACTCTGCCTCTGAAGGTTAAGTGCAGTCACTTGGCCTTTGTTATTCAGCATAATTTTATAGTCCTCCTCCGATAGAAAGCACCCTAGTACCAACTTAGTGCCTTTGGCTGTCGTGAAAATGGATGGAAACCTTCCCCAAGCTTCTCATATTGGCTCTCCATCATCAGTGGGACCTTCATTATGACCTCTATATGGCAGTATCTGTAGTTCCTTCTAGTAAGTAGTTCATAGTGTGTTCTGGTCTCAACTATTAAGCCTATTCCAACATTCTCACTTCCCCCGTAGGCCACTGGCCTTTTGTAATTCTGTCTAAGCAGCTCTGGCATCTCCATCTCATTTACTGTAGTCCATTATTTTGTACAACCTTCAAGAAAACATCCAAGCAGTAGACTAGGGTTGGTTCCAGATCTTAATGCCAGGATAGTAAATCCTAAATCCTTGTTCAGGCTATGCTGAGACAAGACTCAAGTTATTGTCTTGGGGGAAAAAAAGTGAGAGGTAAGGAGTCTAGAAAAGAAAAAGTGCTGCCTTGTGTGGCATCTTCCTTTCATGAGCCTTTCCAAGGTGTCTAGATAATCAGAAGTTCTCTCCTCTATTTGGAGCAGAATGTGTCCTCTGCCTTGAACACTGAGCTATGACTCCAACACCCTTTTTCTTACTGTTACTTTTGCTACAAACTGTAGCAGGAATCTTAAAAGTTCTCACCAGTTCCTTTGCTGATCCTGTTTCCTCAGACTGGAAACCTTTGAGTCCTCATCCAGAATGAAACTCAGCTGAACTGCTGCTCGAAAGCCTGAAAGCTTAACCGGCCAAATGCTTAACCAGCCAAAATGCTTCTAGTTTCTGGTCCTTACGCCTTATATACCTTTCTGCTTTCTACCACCACTCCCTGGGATTAAAGGCTCACTTTCTGGGATTAAAGGCGTGAGTCACCATGCTTGGCTATATCCTTGAACAGATGGATTTCTGCCTCTGGAATGCTAGGATTAAAGGCGTGTGCTACCACTGCCTATCCGAAGTATCTAGTGGCTTTTCTGCTCTCTGACACCAGATAAGTTTATTAGGGTACACAAAATTTGGGGGAACACAATACCACCACAACAAATCTACCTTCTCTGCCCCTTTGTGTGGATACTTCCTTCTTTCAAAAATCACTTCTCACATAGGCTGAACCTGGTGGTCTCACCTGAAGCAGCACATACAACCTGTTCCTTAATCACTCTTTTCACCAGAGTCCAAGTCCTGTTCTTTATGGGATGGTTAGAAGGTCAAACTTTGTGCACATTTCCTTAGTAAGTATCACCAATATCCCATACAGAACACAGCCCAGACTTGGCCTTTTTCTGCACAAAGTTCTATCTAACATAACAAAACATTGGGCAATCATCCATAACATTAACAAATATTCAAACAAAATCTGAAACCTAACAATGAGTGACAGCTTTCTACGAACACGTTAACAACTTTTTATTCTCTCTTCTTGGAAGTCATTGGGATGTTACTGTTTATTTACTTGTTTATTTTTTTCATTCATTAATCATCTATTATTTATTTATTATTTTGTGGAGAATTGAATCTATAGCTTGTCACATTCTAGGCAAGTGCTCTATCGCTGAGCTAACTTCCAGCCCATTACTTCTTTTTCTAAACCCTCACATCTCTTTGATATTTCTTGGTTAACATCTTTAGTTCCTTAGCTCTTTATATTGACTTTCTTTTTAGTTCTTGTTTTAACTTGATTTCTGGGCTACATGCTTCATCATGACTGCTTTAAAAATCCCCAAACGTCTTGGACTAGGAGTTACTCTGAGCTTCTTTAACTATCTGAAACCCTATTCTAGCTTCTTCTTGTTGGATTTTGTGGATGAAAAATGTAGCTTTTCTAAAAGGGACCATTGATTAATAGATTCTCATTTAAAATTTAAAAATCTCCAGATACTGACTGGAATCTCAAGGATGATGTTCACAGACAGCCTCAAAACTTATCCTATTAATAAACTTTGAAAGGTGAATGATTATTGTATTGTTGAGAAAACTTCAAATCAGAAGGGAACTATAATCATTTGGGGGAATGTTTTATTTGAGATCAGAAGGACCAAGGTTACAACAGAGACTACTAGCTGCTATCTATAGGAGCATGGGTATAGGACTTGCCTCTTGAATTTCTGATTTTCTCATGTATGAAAAAATGGTATATAAGTATTTCCTGTCTTCTGACCTTGTGCTGATGAATGTAACACAGTCATGTAAAGCCCTTAGTAAAGCGATAAATCCACAAGAGTCTGTTTAAGAAGTGCTAGGGAAATTTATTGAGGTAAATTGAGGAAATACACTCACAAATACAGAACAGAGTAGACAGCTGAAGTTGTCCTCTGATCTGACTGGGAGCTAGCAGGCAGGAGCAGGGAGAAGGGGCATGTGACCCTTCTCCCTCTCCTTTTTTTTTTTTTTTTTTTTTTTTTTTTTTGGTTTTTCGAGACAGGGTTTCTCTGTGTAGCTTTGCGCCTTTCCTGGAACTCACTTGGTAGCCCAGGCTGGCCTCGAACTCACAGAGATCCGCCTGGCTCTGCCTCCCGAGTGCTGGGATTAAAGGCGTGCGCCACCAACGCCCGGCCTCCCTCTCCTTTTAAAAGGTCATGTACAATGGCAGGAAGCACCACCTCCTTCGAGCCCTATAGCCCAAGGTCATGGGCAGAGTAAATACCACTACACCTTGATATAGCATGGATATATAGGAAGCACTTGATAAATGTTAACTGTTAGTAACAAAAGCTCTCTTGAAATTCCTTTCCTTATGCCTCAACAAGGAAACCTTTCATCCTTCAAGTCTACTTAAAATTGGTTTGCTCTGTATCTCCCATATGTGGCCTTGGTCACTGTGACATCACCAGTGACAGTATGATTGTTTATGTTGATGCACAGGAACTGTCCCATGATGGTTATTCAATAAATTCTGACTGAATGGAGGCATATCCTCTACATATTAGCCTTGACCTCATCTGAAGTCAGCACTGGCTTCTTGCAAAGTGAGATTTCTAGAGCTTAAATTATCAGGGAGATTACTATGTTGCAGACACCAGAACACACAGAAAACCCAGCCACTGAACGTCTGGACTGACTCCGTTTGTTCTCTAGGCTTTGTGCGGGTGGGAAGAGATCTTAAGGTTTGACCTTACAATCAACGTCTAAGATTGATAGCAAAATACTGGGCTTGGAAGTAAAGTTAGAATTTTAAGTCCATAGTTGGTAACTACTGCCTCTTGAAATTTGAGAAACAGAGAACAGCTACCAGCAGGGTTAATATATAACTAAGATAACTATTTTCTAAAATATGTGTTACTATTGTCAGACTATACGTAACTCACTACCTAAAGCTCTTAATATTTAATTTAATCAATTAACTGCCTGGCTCCTGAACACCACTTCCATCATAAATCTGTTCTCCTAGAACAGTAATTCTCAATCCATGGGGCACAACCCCAT